TTATTAACTTGATCGTTAAGTGCTCCCAGGTCTTTAATGGTGGTCTAACATTGATCGGTTCATGCTTTCAATGAAAAAATAATAAATCAGTTAACTAATAATATTTCGTTTTCATGCTGACACGAAGTAGCGATGAAAAACATTTTCAAATACATATGGAGTCGATATAAATATGTCAGACACAGAAAATCAGAATTCCCTAACTGTAGGAATAATGAATTATCTAAATATATGAGTTAATTTTTGTACATAAATACAAATATAAAATGGATCAGTTTGACGAGGAACTTCATTCACAATATCTTTTCTCACTGGATGTTACTATAATTTCTAGTAACTAGAAATGGTATTATCATTATTACACTGGTCTACGTAATCTAGGTCCTTAATTCGATCCTTAGATCACAGATTACAAAGTATTAAGTGTAATTATGTTTTAAGGATAATATCACTTTCATTTGCCAGATGTTGACTGGATTGCATTTACTTTCCTATGAACAACTATTATCCAATAGAATGTAAATCAGTACTTGTATGACATTAAATTTATTCCTAGAACCTATTCATATGATATTCCTATTCGTAAGATTGGTTTTTAATTGATTTATTTAATATAGCTAACATAAAAATTCACTATAATGTAAATCATTACCAGTTTAGTTAAGTAGACATTCATGTATTAAGCTTTGACCTAGATTCACATTATTAACATTGCTCGATTATGCAAGAGTAATTAGATATAGTAACATTAAATCCCTTACCAATAGGTGAAGTAAGAAAACAATTCATATGTACACGAAACGAAGCATCCTATTAATATGTAACCGTGAATGCTTGATAATACTGGAAATAAATACCGATCACTTATTTTCAAACTGCACGTTTTACGTAGGGTTAATGATGCTACGTGGCTGCTTAAATCATAGAAGGTAATGCAGGGTTTGAACCTACGACCCAGTGGTTTAAAGCCGAGTGATTTAACCGCCAGTTCGTTTCACTTCAGTAGACAAGATCAAGAATCCGCAAGTATGATATGAAGTCAGCTCTTGAATTAAAAGGATTCAGTTTAACTATTTGTCGTGAAATAAATTTTTATGACGGATTTAATAAAATACTGGAATGACTGACTTTATGTGATCTGACTGAATGAACATACTGGAAGATTCAAAATATCGTTTACAAACTAAGATATAGTAGACTGAAAGAGTATAATTGTGATAAAAATAGAATTATATAACTAATAAGATTTCCTTTTCATTCGTCGTGTTACCATTCTAGTTTAGAGAACTCAACAGTATTAAAAGCAAATTACATTAATAATTTTTTAGTTGTGTACCTCAACAAACCGTAAAAGCTTGAGCTTTGTTTGTTACAAAACATGGTTTGCTAAGGTTTAGACAATAAATATACTTATATATGGTGATAATCAGAAGGATGAGATAATATGGAGTGAACAAGTTTTTACACCACTCTAGGTATGAAAATAGATTGAAGATTACCAGGAAATAATCAAGGTTACAACAAATTGTTTCTGTGCACACAAAGGAGTCTTAACTTTCTAATGACCAGGATTTCTACAGATTACGGAATGAGGCCTTGGTGATTTCCAAATAAGGCTTTGAACGTTGTTAGATCAACACTAAGGCCTGTTCCACTTAAATATTTCACTGTCGAAGAGAATGGCTATCCCTATTTTTGATGCTAACTGATTCTGAAGTCACTTAAACACATATCCAACGACTCTTAATTAGACTGTTGCATGATTTTAATTTATGTGATTATTAAATGCAATAGGAGGTGACATAATCATTTCTGCACCATTGAATTCATTGTAAAATTATAGGCTTATTCCTCTCAGTGACAATCATTTTAAGAGAAGGCTCATTTAAACTTCCGCCTTCTCTTAAAAATCTTCGACGCATTACAATCATTTTAGTAGCATAATGTGTTTTTTTTCAACAGATTTTCTCAAGGGTACAATTGTGGTGTGTGCTATTGATGTCGATAGGCATAAGTAGTATGTATCGGCAATCGGAAGCGGAATGCCTGGAGGCAGATGGTTGAGAAAATCGAGGAAAAGAGAATAAGAACATAGAGTGATTGTTATGGAAAACAAGGAATAACAAAGTTTGAGACAAGTGATGGATGTTTCGCAAGTGAAGTATTTACTGTATGGTTCTCAGATTTTACCAAGATATTCTGCAATGTTGTATTCAGGTACATTCAGTTATTCCCACTCTTGTTCTCGTTCGCTACAGTAGTAAACGAATCTCATGGTAGCCCCTGAACAAGAGGTTTTCAACCAATCAACAAAAACATAAAATTCATCGTTTTTTACTTTGCCCGTAACATAAACAAGCACAACAACAAGAACACTAGAAGACTTGAGTTAAGAAACAACTACAATAGTGACATACAAATGTATGCTTGTGATATTTTCAAAATAAGAAGCAATCAAACAAACAAATATGAACATGTGATAGTCACTGTTCTGTTTTTCTTTTTACAATAAAGGAAACAAAATATCACATGTAAACAAATAGAAACTTTTTGTAATTGGATAATTTTTTTATGTTCCTTTCTTCTAAACATTATGTTTACTTGTGATTAAATAAAAGATTTACAGGTTACCATAATTATCGTCACGTGGATATGTTTACATTTTGCCATCCCAGTACATTAACATACTAACATGGAGAGTAAGGTAAAAGGAAGAAAAACGTCTATTAAAAAATCAGTTGCAACAACGACTAAATTATTTGAATTGAAACAAGGGGTAAATGAGAAATTGTTGTTGTGACTGTATACATATCAGTTTCTACATAATTACCATTAAAAGTACATTTGATAAGTGGAAGTAGGTTGAATACTCATTAATATTGTTAAGGTGTCCTTAAAATACATACATACATACAGGTGATAAATAAATCCCTAATTCTAAAATATGCATCTATCAAGATGAATTATGAATAAGCATACTGAAAATCACTATCTTCATTACAGTCTATATTTTTTGGAATATTATTAGTTAATGATAGGTTGGGATATTTTTCCTAAGCAAAATAACGCTTTTGTGTAACATCTAATAGATATAAGAAAAATTCTGTTTTTTTATTTGAGTAAAGATATATTGCCTAAATAATCCACTTCAATGAAAGTGTAGAAAATTAAAGAACTTGACTTTTAATTTCAGACTCAAACCTGGACTCGTCCACGTGGGTTTAGGGAACCTAATAGTATACACTCGAGATATACAAAAAAGCATGGCTAGTTTCCGAGTATATGCACCGTTGATTAGTCGTTGAGTTACATAAGTCTTCAGTAATAAGGATAGTAAGTTGGTGAACCTGTGTTAATCCTGACAGATTGCCTTCCAGTGAAGGTCCAGTTTCTCCTTGAAAACATTCACTGATGGGGCTGATACCAATTGTTCGGGTAAGGCGTTCCAATCACTGACTACTCAATGAGAAAAACGGGACCCCACTTTAAGTTTATTAGATCGCAGTTTGTGAACTTTCTTACTATGACCTCGGAGATTATTAATGCTGGAGGGAGCAAAAAGATAAGACATATTAACATCCAAATCATAATTAAAGATACGAAATGCCAGTATAAAGTCAGCTCGCGTCCTACGATACGACAAGGGGAAAAGGTTTAGGCGTTTTAAACGCTCATCGTAAGGGAGTTTAGAAGGACCCTTCACTAATTTCGTTCCCACACGCTGGACACGCTCAAGTGGGTTAGTATCCTTTACCAGACATGGGTTAGCTGCTTGAATACAGTACTCTAAATGTGGTCTTACATAGGTGGGATATAAAATTCGAAACGTTTCCTCGTCAGAAGATTTGAACGCTCGGCGAAGTGACCATAACGCACGAAAACCTTTGACAGCGGCTTCGTTACAATGCGTAGTTGTTTTTAAGTCATGACTTATTATTACTCCTAAGTCTTCATATTCTTGAACGCATGGAAGAGGTTTACCATCAATAGTATAATGGTAACTATTACTGTGACCGATGTGCATTAGCACACTCTTCCTATAATTGATTTCTAAGCCCCACCCTCGAGCCCATCTAACTAAATTGTCTAAGTCAGCTTGGAGATTATTGTGAATCGTGAGTTGGCTACTCTAAATTCTACCGATTGACTAGCTTCAGATATCCCGGTTCGACCCCAATACTGTTCCCAATCTCCAATATATCAGAACACGAACCGTAGACGAAAAATCGTTTATGGGGTCAGGAGCAGCAGAATAATGACTTACAAACAAATGCATATTTATACAGTTAGGATTACTATAAATATTGACCAACAGTTTTTTTTTTTTTTTTTTTTTTTTTTTTTTTTTGAAAATGACACGCGAAATAAATATTGATCAGTAGGGAAACGACCAATCGGGAAATGACACCATTTAACGTTCAACGGTAGCGTTAGACTTAACCGGATAATTGTTTCTGGGATATTTTTCTGAGTATCCCAACACCTCCCCTTTGGAGAAGTTAATAGCGACGTAACCGAGGGTTTACTTGAAGTTTCTTTGGGTGTCTTCTTTTGCGATCCGACCTCCGAGGCAACCACACAGAACCAGAAGGATGTTCTACTTGAGTAGATGACTTAGTCGTCTCTGTTGGAGGTATTGGCGGAAGTTGAAACGTGTCCAACAGCAAGTCGAGTGGGACGCGTTTTGTAATTCCTTCTTTCTCCTTCGCTTTCCTTGACCTGAGTTGATTGTGGTGCCTGGTCCAGATTTCTTGGTTCACCTTGACATCATACATGACGTCCCCATGTTTTTGTGTGATTTCACCCTCTACCCATTTATCACATCCATGTCTATAATCTCGCGCATACACTTTTGTACCAACTTCGTAGGGAATTCGAGTATTCTTCCTCTGGGGGCTTTGGTGGGCCACTTGCTTGGGTTTCATCGCACCATGAACTGTCCGTAGTTTTCGCCCCATAAGCATCTCAGCAGGGGATTTGGAGTTTGGCAATAAGTCATCCGGGGTCGTCCGGTACGCAACTAGGAATCGTTCTATGATATCTTCTGTGGTCCCCTCCCCTCGTGCTTTAAGCATGGCTCGTTTAAATGTATCAACGAACCTTTCAGCTTGTCCATTAGATTGCGGGTGATATGGCGGAGAACGAACATGGTTGATCGAATTTTGCAGGCAAAATTCTCGGAATTGGCTAGATGTAAATTGTGAACCATTGTCTGTTACTATTGTTTCTGGAAGACCATGCTGAGCGAAGATCCGATTAAGGAGTTTGATGGTTCGAGTTGTAGAGGGTGGCGCAATCGGCAATATCTCCGGCCATTTGGAGTATGAGTCAACCAGTATCAGATATGTGGTACCATCTAGGGGTCCGGTGAAGTCAATATGCACTCGCGACCAGGGTTTTTCTGACTTCGGCCAGGGCACTGGAGGCAACTTAAGAGGATTTTTCGCAGCTTTTTGGCAATGTGAACATCTTTTGACGAAGTCGACAATCTGCTTGTCCATATTTGGCCAATATGCATAGCTTCGAGCGATGGATTTCATACGGTTTATCCCTGGGTGTCCAGAGTGGAATTGGCGTAGGACTTTGGAACGTAGGGTTGTTGGAATTACTACGCGATCACCGAACATCAGACAATCGTTAACAACACAGAGAGCGCTGCAGCGATTCGCTAGTTGTTGCATATCACCACTCAGCTGCTTAACTGGCCATCTGCTCTGAACATAGGTGATCGCTTCTTGAATAATCGGGTCTTCTCTGGTAGCTTCCCGAACATCTTCAGCGGTAACAGGCATTGCTCGAACGGCGTTCGCCAATAGTGTAGCATCAGAATCCTCTTCGGTTGATACTATGGCTATGAGTGTGTCCTCATCAGTGGTAGAATGGTTACTGATAAGTCTGGACAGTGCATCCGCTTGACCAAAATCTTCGGAACGTCGATACTGGATGTCGAAGTCGTAACCCAATAACGCCAACGCCCAACGTTGAAGACGATTAGCAGAATGGGCAGGAATGCCTTTCTTTGATCCAAAGATTGATAACAAAGGTTTGTGGTCTGTGAGCAAGGTGAAACGGCGCCCATAAATGAATTTGTGGAATCGCCGGACAGCAAAAATTAGGGCTAACGCTTCCTTCTCTATCTGACCGTAGCGTTTCTCAGCAGGTGTTAATGTTCTCGAAGCGTGCATCACCGCTTTCTCTGACCCGTCGGGAAAGACATGTGAGATTACGGCACCCAGTCCATGTGTTGAAGCGTCAGCAGCAACCACAATGGGTAGTTTCGGATTGTAGTGGGTTAGCAGAAGATTGGAACTTAGCATAGCTTTAAGTTTTGAAAAGGCTGACTCACATTGCGTTGACCAATTCCAAGTAGCATTCTTTTCTAGCAGACGATTTAATGGATATCGTACGTCATGCAGTGATGGAAGAAATGCTGAATAGTAGCTAATCATCCCCAAAAATGATCGGAGTGAGGAGACATCAGTGGGAGCAGGCATTTGTTGGATTGCGTAAGTATTTTGAGGATCAGGGTGTCGTCCGGAAGCATCAAAGATAAACCCCAGGTACTTAACGAAACGTAGAAGAATTGGCATTTTTCTGGGCGAAGGCGAAAACCATTATCCTGGAGGCGTTGCAGAACTAAATGGGTTCTGGTATGCAATTCATCAACAGTTGAGCCGACAATGAGCACATCGTCAAGGTAAGTAGCAACACCAGGAACATCTGCCAGAATAGTGTCCATGATCTGCTGGAAGATCGCTGGAGCAGTTTTGATACCGAAGGGTAACCGGGTATACTGAAAAAGTCCTCGGTGAGTGTTGATTGTCAACAACTCTCTGGATTCTAGAGCGACTGGAATTTGAAGGTAAGCATCTGCCAGATCCAGCTTAGCAAAGTAGGTACCACCATTTAAAATAGTAAATAAGTCATCTGGGATCGGCAGCGGATAGTGATGCTGTTGTAGAGCCGCGTTGAGTCCCGTGGAAAAGTCTGCACAGATGCGTATGGAACCATTGGATTTTTTTACAACCACAATTGGTGCAGCCCATGATGAATAAGAAACAGGTACTAGGACACCTTCAGTTTCCAAACGTTGAAGTTCAGCGTCAACCAGAGGTAAAGATGCGTATGGGACTGGACGCTTCGGGCGAAAAACTGGCGTAGCTTCTGGCTGCAGTTTTAAAACAGCTTCAGTTGTGGAACAAAGTCCGAGACCAGGCTTAAATAGTTCAATAAATCGTTTTCGAAGGTCTTCAGCATGCTGTTGTGTAGAAGCAGTAGTTTTGACTTGATTGCAGATAGCGCTAATAGGAAGATCAGCGAGACCAAGTTCTTCGAACCAATCTAAACCTAAAAGGTTGAGCGGAGAATTGGTGATGTAGCATGTCCCATTGAAGGTTGTACCTCTGAATGAAATACAGCAATAGAGTTCACCATGAAGGCGGAGATGACCCCCACAGGCACTGACGGCTGTCTGAGAGGATGGTTTGATGGCAGGTTGACCCAAGGTTCGCCAAGTCTTCTTTGACAGAATGGTGATGTCTGATGCAGTGTCCAACTGCAAACGAACAGGCTGACCATTGATTGAGAGGGTCAGAAATTTGCGTCGAGTCGCGGCATGAGTATGGAAGACTGCTGCTAAACTCCTTGATGAGGTAATCGGCTTTTTGTGAAAACGACGCTGCGTCTGTGCATTTCGACGGTTATTGAATCGGTTGGATTTGCAAAAGCCGCTTTTGTGACCAACTTTCTGACAGCGATCGCACACATGCTGTTTGAATGGACAGAACTTCACATAATGTCAGGCTCCACAGTGCCAACATGGCGAGGGGGGCTTCTTCTGAACCGGTTTAGAGTGATTAGAGATAGAAACAGCGCTGGCGTTCGAACGACTCGAGTTTGTCGGTCTCGAAGATTTTTTCTGGTGCTGAACAGCATGAACTTCGGAACCACCCTGGCCCCCAGATTGAACCAAAGTGGTGTCACGCTGCAGATTGATGATACGCTGGTATTCGTCTATGATCGCATTAAGTGTCAGTGTTGGATCTTGTTCAAGGCGGTTGAGCAACCGAGTTCTGATGTCGGAGAATTTGGGTGACTGAAGACTGCATATGAGTATTAGGGACTTGAATTGGTCTTCAGTGAGGGATCTGAGCTTGAACCGTTCGCACTCACGGTTAACAACGCTGACATGGGTCAGGAAGTCATCGGACTCATTCATGATCAGTTTTAAGCAGCGATATCGAGTACTGAAGAGTGAGTGATGATCACCAAAAAGTTGGCTAAGGGACTGAATAGTGGCGTCGAATGAACGGTCGCGTGGGTTCTGCGGTAGAATGAAGTTGCAATACTTATCCAGCTCGGATGGACCAAGTTTACGGAGAAGAAGACGCACCTTCCACGAATCATCTCTGTCAACAAAGTCAACTTTGAAAAGGTCTTCATAACGTCTGAACCGGGTATCAAATGTAATGTTGGCATCAGGATCATAAAGAAATTCTGAAATACCACTGGTAATACCATCAACTGATTCAGGAATTGTCGGTGCAGTTGGGACTCGAGAAGATATATGCGTCTGAGTAATCATCTCCATCAGCTTCAGCTGCTGTTCGAACAATTTTTCTAATTTGGCTGGATCCATAGTTAATCACCAACTTGTTGCTAAATCTCCGTCGCCAAATTTATTGTGAATCGTGAGTTGGCTACTCTAAATTCTACCGATTGACTAGCTTCAGATATCCCGGTTCGACCCCAATACTGTTCCCAATCTCCAATATATCAGAACACGAACCGTAGACGAAAAATCGTTTATGGGGTCAGGAGCAGCAGAATAATGACTTACAAACAAATGCATATTTATACAGTTAGGATTACTATAAATATTGACCAACAGGAAAATGACATGCGAAATAAATATTGATCAGTAGGGAAACGACCAATCGGGAAATGACACCATTTAACGTTCAACGGTAGCGTTAGACTTAACCGGATAATTGTTTCTGGGATATTTTTCTGAGTATCCCAACAGAGATCCAGATGATCAGCCTCACTTTTTATTGTTCTCCAGATTTTTACGTCATCCGCAAACAATAATGTCGACGACCTGAGCAACGGCGGTAACTCATTAACGTAGAGAAGGAAGAGCAGAGGGCCCAAGATGGTGCCTTGGGGTACACCACCTTAGGCCCTCAATTAATAGTTTTTATATGACACGGTATCCGTAGACGATTCAATCTTAACAACTCTGTGTAACACCAGAATATAACATTTACATAGTCTTTCGCTTAATGACTAAACAGTTAAAATTCTGTAGAAGAGATTATTATTTACACTCCAGTTGTTGACAAGATCACGTAAAAATGATACTCAGTAGTGTACACAAGCTCGTTTAATCGTAAAATATGAACTCCTCTACAACAGAAGAAAAGTTAGATTAGATGATTTTCAATGTATGATACAGTGAGTTAAATTCAAGCATTTAGAACCATAATTCGATCAAGGAAAGTACTGATTATTCTAAATCACGAGAACTTGTCATACCAGTTTTGCAAAATCAGCTTTAGAATGAACAAGTATTAGATGAAAATAAAGAGAATTCAGAAGAAAATTTTCTTTTCGACAAAATCATTTACTTAAACTGTACATTCGTATTTACAGTTGTATATAAAAATATAGAAAATATTACATCATAAATTGATTCGAGACTCTTATTATCAGATGAGGTGACGCAATAGTCGTGGGGTAAGAGAGGAGCATAAGGCTGGAAATAATTTATGGATCTGAATTATGAAAAATGATTGACTGTCCAATTGGCAGATATAAAGAAAAACGACAATCACAAAGGTCATAATAATGAAATCTGAATAATAATCATGAAAACTTGTTTCAGGGTAATAATAACTGAGTTTTTAAATTACAAAAAACTAATTTAAAAAATCAATAATAATAATGAAAATAGAAAAATGAAGGAAACATGGAAAAAAAATCGAAACACTACAAAAGGGAATTAGGGCCAAGGAAGGATGAGAAGTTGGACGTGTAGATTATGCACGCAAAGTTCGGGTTGAGATGGGGGATTGTCAATGACTCAGCAGTACATAAGATTTTGATTCGACCTCTCTTCGATTCAATTACTTTGACTGTGTATTTTCAAACAAGACTCCTTTGGAGCGATGTGTACATAGTTGATTAAATGCTCCTGTATTGAACTAGTAATTGTTTTGCATTCTCCTATTAAAAGCCATGGCGGATAGTGTTCTGAGATGTGTTTGGAAAGTGATCGCGTTGTGCGGCTGATGTAACCTGCTCCACATGAGCAAGTGAATTTATAGATGCACATTGCTGTGACCCAAAGAGGGACTTTAGGGCGCAGATCGGCAAAGCAAGAGCAGTATATCTACAATTGAAGAACATCTGGGACTCAAAACAACTGTCAACTAACACCAACGTCAGAATTTTCAATACAAATGTCGAGACAGCTCTACTGTATGGAGCGGAAACTTGGAGAACTACGAAAGCCATCGTCCAGAAGATACAGGTGTTTATTAACAGTTGTCTGCGTAAAATACTTCGGACCCGTTGGGCAGACACTATCAGAAACAACCTACTATGGGAGAGAACAAACCATATTCCAGTGGAAGAAGTGGATAGGACACATATACT